GCCGGCCTATAAATTCCGTTAGCCACTGAGGCTGAGAATACAAGGCTGTGTCTGTTATTCTGCTGGCCACCATATGTTTATTTTTCCAGTTCCTAAGATATTTGCCCCAGTTGGCCCTCAAAAAGTTTAGAATCTAGTGGGAGACATAAATGAAAGTGCTGTGGGATTATAAAACAGGAACAACTAATTTAGACTTTGAAGGTTAGAGAAAACTTTCTGGAAAGGAAGAATTCTGGATGAGTTAGAATTTGGTTCAGCTGCATGTGACAGAAAACACAAAATTATAGTGGATTAAACTAGATGGAAATATAAAAGTCTCTCATATAAAAGTCTTGAGGAAAGTAATCTTGTGCTGGTATAGTGCTTTAGACTCCTCTCTTGTTTTTTACCATCCTCAGCATGAGGCCTATGTGGTCCAAGACGGTTGCTCAGATTCCAGCCATCACTTCTATATTCCCATTAGTAGAAAGGACAAGGGGCAAGGAAGGGCATAACCTCTCCTTTTAAGGGTGTGTACTTTCTGGAAGTTGCTCATGAAGCTTCCTTTGACATTTTATAATCTAGAACTTAGGTACTTGGCCACACCTTGCTTCAAGAGGTGTAGTGTAGCTAAAAATATACAGTCCTATTATCAAAAAAGAAAAGGAAAATAGCCATTGGGAGACAACTGGCAGATCTCTAAGTGAGATATGAAGTATGAGTAGCAATTAGGCAGAGGAAGTCACAAAGCAAAGACTATCCAGAAAGCGGGGCTGGTGTGTCCCCTTCAGCAGGAAAGGACACCATGCAGCACTTTTCTTTCTAAATGCTCTGTTCATCATCCTTCATATTGTTCCCCAAAGTCCACCTAGAATGAGCCTGCCTGCCCTAGCCATTCAGCACTCAGATCTAAAATGACCTCGACAATGACATCAAAACCCATCATGTCACTGGAATCATGGCTGCTTAGAGACCCCCTTCCTTCTGGTCTGTAAGAGAGCTCACTCTGAAATCTCATCACTGAAATTTACTAGGACAAATTACTGAAACCAATTTGGAAGAAACTAGAATCCTAACACTTTCATATGATTAATTATGGCACATCTGTCTGAAGCAATATTATGCCAACATGAAACGTGATCAGTTATGAAGTTGTGGAGGATGAAAAACAGCTCATATTAAAATATTGAGGATATGCACAATTGTGTATGTGCAAAATTGTGCAAGTGTTGTGATTATAATTATGTGAAAAAAAGTGTGTATATGGACAAATATTGGAAAGAACATAAAATAAAAACAATTATTGGATGGATTAAAGGTTTTTCTTCTCTGAAAACCAGTAGTTATATTGTTTTCACAACAAATAAAATTTGTAATAGGTTTTGCAAACTTTACTTACTGTCAAAGGTAGGTGTACTTAAGAATCACCTAAGCAGCTTATTAAAAATGGAGATTTCCAGACTGTAGTCAGAGAGACTGTAATTCTATAGGTCTGGGGAATGATTGCATTTGTAACAAGCACCCGAGGTCATTTTGTTGGAAGTCGTGCACTGAACATGTTTGAAAAACACCACCATCACTAATGTTTTCAGAGACACCTAAAAAAGGATAGAGTTGGGACATTATCTGTGCCAAAGCAGCCCGGCTTTGTTGTAAGCTAAAGACTATGGCCAATATTCCTCTACCGTTGTTGGGGAAACAGTAAGAAAGTTTAAAACAAAGATGCTATATTAACAAAAATGATATCTCTCTTTGGTTTATAAAGTGAAATATCACTATAAGGTACAGCTTTGATCATTTTTCTTTTAGTTTTCCTAGTAAACTTGAAGCATCCCAGGTATTGACAGTTAATGTATCTCTAGTTCTCTTACAGTCCCCACATGTCTGTAACTTACCCCAAGTCCTTCTAATAGGCCTGACACAAGTTCAGCTATAATCTGCCTTTGTGAGTGAAGAATGGGGATTTCAAACTATACATCTGGATAGCACAATCTGCATAAGCCAGCCCTCTGGATGATTCTATACTCGTTTTATTCATTAGGGTGACCAGCTTGTCTCGGTTTGCCCAGGGGCTTTCCGGTTTTAGCACTGAAAGTCCCATGAGACACCTTGCCTCTCAATACTGGGCAAACCAGGACGGTTGGTCACCTACACCTTTCCATTGCCTATGACCTATGTAATTACGTACAGCTTAAAAGAAAAGACATTCTCCAGAAAGTGTTGTCAGCCTCCACAGACACTGTCCCAGGGAACACAGGCAAAAACTTAGCTTTTTGAAGATCTTTGAAAAAGAATACATGTAAGATGCTATTCATTATTTTTAAAAATAAAACATTTCTCTGAAGTGGTTTCAGAGAAGGAGCCAGAGATATAAGGGTGTGGCAAACAACCCTTCCCCTATTTCCCCCTTTTCCTATAAGCATTCATCACTTAGTGAAAAGTTTACTAAGATTTGTGTGTGTTTTAACATCAGAAAAGAGACATATAAGGTTTGCTCAGGCAGTTAGAATGCAGAATGTAGAGATGAAGGGTAAATCTGTCTAGAGGATATGGAATTTTTCATCAACCAGAATTAGAAAGTAACTCCTTTTACACTTGTTTTTAGAAAAGTAGTTTTATTGCAAAGTCTTTGGAATTTCTCTAAAATCCTAAAATGTTAAGATGATTCAGAAAACTAAAAAAGGATGTGCCTCGGCAGCCTGTTCCAAAACGTAGGACAGAAATTTTTCAGAATTACTCTGCCCACATCAAAATTATACTTCTTTAAAATATTGAAAGTAGTTCATAGAATCCCCAGAATTTCATTTCCATATCAGTTCCAAACTACAACTTTCAAAAGTAGCTTACAATTTTGGCTCAGGAATAATCCTACTGACAGCTGGTTTATACTGAGGAAAATATACTTGTAAGGGAATTTAGCCCATTTGCCCGCTTGAATTCTTGGGTGCAATATCAACTTTCATTAAAAGGCCAGTTTCATAAACAGTGGCAATTTACAACAACTATAAGTTTCAGTTCTTCACTCTTTTAAGACCATCAGATATTTAATGCAGAAAACGGTTTATTTAGCCACTGCCTTCTCAGTGAAGGCTTTAAGGTGATCAATGCTGAAAACTATATGTGAGGTCAACAATTGAAAACCAAGGCCACCAGCTAGGATTGTATTAGCATTTTCCAGAGTGGATTCTGTGAGATGTTAGTAGACATTATGTTAAAACAAAATGGGAGTCTCAAATTAAATATGTTTAGGAAGCACTGTGATAAACAGAGTTCAACATGTTTCTTCACTGCAAGACTTTTACAATAATAATGGGCAAGGCATGTGTTTCCCAAACTTATTTGACCAAATATTGTCAGAATATCTAAAAGGCTTGGGTTCCAACTAACCTACTTAGAGAAATACTGCTCTTGCCTTTCTAAATTTGATATTAGCTACTTGAAAGTTGGGACTAAATCTATTTTCAGTTTATTTGCATGAAAATAGTTTTAATTTACAAATAGCCAAAGCAGCTTTGTCCAAAATACAGAACAGTTTGACGTTCTAAACATATTGACATTTCAACATACTTTTAAAGGAGGCTATTCTTATTACAAATATCATTACTTCCAAGGTACAGTAAGAACAAACAAGGCAATGAGACCTATAAGAAAGTGATTGTGGCTTCGAGCTTAGAGAATCTCGTTTTGATGACTTGGAGAGACAGATGACTTAGTGCCAATGGGCAGGGCTGTGTTTAGTCTGCGGATCTCTAGTCAAAGCCAATAGTGGTTTGAAGAGCTATAAATGAGCAGATACGGGCATTTGTAGCTAGGCACGCTTATCTGCAATTAAGTACTTTTCTACATAAGGCTACCCGTATTTCCCAGCCCAAATTATACTGTATCTGTAAACAACCTAACCTCCTGACTTCTGATCCCAACACTGAGGAAGATTAAATGAGTTGCCCAGCCTCAAAAGCCATTAAAAAGAAGACAGGGAAGGAATCAGTGGTGCGAGGCTAGCCTGAAGACAGGTAGTTAGGAAACAGTGAGCTATGCTCTACATCATTCCACTGCCTTACACAGGGATCCCCCAACCAAATTGTCTGTAAGAAAAGGTCTGTGATCAAAACCCAATTTAGTCGCTAAGGTCTTATTAAAATGAGATGGAGTAAAATGGGTCAAATTGTTGCATACTTTTTTCCTTCGTGGTGTAGATATCAAATGCAAAGACAACGCTGCTTTAACTCTGATGTGAAGTTACATGTTTGCTCTCTGCCAAGAAATTCAAGTGTTGCTCTATAACCACATTGAAATGACATTGCACAGAGTAATAAAGACTATAAAATATGAAAATAAAATTTTTATTGGGAAGAGGAAATGTTATGTACAATTAAGTATAGGATTGATGAAATTACATTAATAACCTTTGCTTAAGGAATAAATGTAGATTTAGTAAAGGAAGAAGTTGGAGGCTTAGAACAGGTTTCCATACACAATTTCCAAGCAGTTTTAAGTAACAAAATCTCAATTTGCATAAATTATACAGATCATTAAGGGAAAGGTGTATTGGTTTGTGGCTATTGACAATCATCAGTTTACTTTGTGCCTTGTAGATCTCTTTTACCATGATCCCAACTCTGGTGATCCTGATCCTGTTCTAAAAGTTTCTCTCCAGCCATAACTGGGCACTTACCAAGAGGTCACTTTGCAAATAGGATTTTTTTGCTCATTGTGAATTAAACAAATTCCATGTGCTCTTATATGAACTCCATGGTTTAATGACAGCTGCTTGAACCAAATCTGGAAAAGCTTTCCATTTTGGAGAGCGCTTAAGTCAGATGTACACATGTGCAAAGAGTTTGGAAATTGCATCGGAATATGTGCACAACATCTTTGTTGATAATTTTAAGTCTCATGTAAGCTAATATGATCTGTGCAGTTCTGGAGACTATTATCTGCATGTGGTATGAAAACCATTCTCATTTGAACAATATTCATTTTGCTTATTTCTATCCCCCAAACAGAAAACATCCAACAAGAACAATTTTATCTACGGTTATTTAATTAAAGCAAAAGTAGAACAAAGCATACCAAATGGAAAAAGATATCCAAAAAAGATGATGAAAATGTTTAGGAACAGAAATGACTAATTTAGCTGAAGGAATTATCCGGTGCCATTAAAACATATTTGCAACTTATAATTGGTTATTAGCATAAATTAAATTTAGTAACTGAGTCCCAATTCACTTCTAAAAGTTATCAAAATATTTTCAAAATTTTACATAAAAATTGACAACATCCGTAAGTATTATATAAATACCACACCAAAAAATCACGTAAGAAAAATAAATAAATGTATCTTGAGGTAAAATACAAATCACACTTGTCATGCCAGATATATATACTCCCTTTCCCCTCACATATAATTGTGAGGATTTGGTATTTTGCACGTTCCAAGGTAAAGTAATGATAATATATGTTGATGCAAATTTCAGCCATAAAAATAAACTACTTCATAGCTTAAACATTCCTATGATGAAACATCAGGACTCCAGTTTCACTAATCAAAACTTTATGAAGGCATAAATTGCATTTGATTTGACTCCTCAAATCACGGCTGAAAACTCTCAGCAAAGCATTCTAGGCTTTTTTTCTCACACCAACTGACCCAGAATATATTTTAGGAAATGTTTATTTTCTGTGCATATTTGTTTTAAAATTATAAATTCCTGAGCACTTTTTCTTCTTCCTCCTCATCACTGTCAGTGACATTGACTTGCTGGATGCTAGGTGGAGTTGATGTCGGGGCTGTGAAGACGTTCTCCAAGGCTCCAATGTCCAGCTGAGGCATGGGATTTAAGTACTCTTCCCCACTGTGGCTATGACTGTTATAGTAAGAGGTCCCATCCACACTCTCACAACTCCGAGAATCTTCGCCGTGTGTGCGTTCATCTGGGTAGTCTCTAAAAGGATAGTCTCTGTTTAAAGCTGAAAACATAGCCTCATGTTTTTGGTACCTGTCTTCATAATAACCAAGGCATTCTGGCATAGAACTTGGAAAATTTCCATAGCCAAAAGGAGGCCGACTGTAAGGACACGTGCTGCAGCAGAAAGACAACAAAGGAATTAGATCATACCACGCCCACATGTTGCCTTGCATACAGACTAACTGAGCAAGTTTAACTGCATCCTCTTTGGGGCTTGGAAAGTCCCCAAGATGAATTTCCACAACCACTTCATTTATTCATCTGCTCTTTTACTGTTGCCTAGTCCCAAGAGAAAATAAATGGCAAAGTAAGCTTGTAACTGGAATACTCACCAGCACTATTATTTACCCTCACCCTCAGGCTTCTTACCTTTTCACAGCCTTGATAAAGAAAAATTGCTTATCTGGGTCTTTCTTTCACCATGCCTTACACCATGCAAGGTTTTGGAAATGCAGGCATGTGTTGTCCTGAGCTAAAAATGGACACTTAGTAAGCAGTACAACAATTGTTCTTACTAGTATTTGAAACAAAGTTTATTGGGGGGGAAAACGTATAATTGGGTTGAAATCAAAATCTCCTGGCAGGGGGCACGGGAACAGAAGATAATAAACTAAGTTTTTAATTGACATTCAATAACAAAGTAAATTAAAAACACACTAACTACCAGAAAGATTTAGAACTGATATTAAACTGTGGTGGGTTTTTTTGTTTGTTTTTTGCTAAGGAAGATCTGTTCTGAGCTAACATCCATTGTCAATCTTCCTCTTTTTTCTTTTTTGCTTGAGGAAGATTAGCCCTGACCTAACATCTGTGCCAATCTCCCTCTGTTTGTATGTGACTTGCTGCCATAGCAAGGCAATGAGTAGTGTAGGCCCACGCCTGGGATCTGAATCCACGAACCTGCGTCACCGAAGTGGAGTGTGCAGAACTATAACCACTTGGCCACGGGGCCGGCCTCTAAACTGTGGTTTGAAAACATCTTTTCCAAAAAAAATTTTGGAGGGCAGGAATGTGAAGAAATGAAAAGATTATTTTGTTGTTTTACAAACTGATGATTTTTTTAAGGCAAATCTAAAAATTCTGCCTTTCAAACCCATTTGTTAATTTTTCTTAAGTATTATTCTCTCTTTCAAAGGCGCAGAACAGGAATCATAGGAACAAGAATATAGAAAAGTCCAACAACCAAGAGTTCCCTGGGCTCATGGACTCCATCTAGTGACAGAAACATAAACATAATGACCACACTCATCAGCAAAACCCATCACAAGTTGGGTGTTTCATTTCATGCTCCCACAGGGGGGAAAAAAATAAAGGTCAACTTTATTTCCTTCTCTTTAAAAATATAAGTATAAGTATGATCAACATACTAGACTATCGGCTCAAACTCTTTGAAAATATGGGATATCTTCGTGGTTTGGTGTCCCACCCCCAAATCTCCAAGTGCCAGGGACCCTGCTGACGTTAACTATCACAAATATGAGGCAAAGTTTCTAAACTGTTTCAGGTTTCCATTCCTAAGGTCACATCCTCATTCACGCATTTTTAATGTCATACATATGTCCTGAATACATTGTGCCTCCAGCTACGACCTTGCTCCTGCAGCTCTCCCACCTTCAGGCCTCTCCATCCATTGAATTCCACAGATCCTGCACAGGGGCACTCAAATCTAGCCCCTTCACTTCAGTTAGAAACAATTCACTCAATAACTATCTTTTTCAGGACTCAGTGTAGGCAAGATACTCTGCAAGGTTTGCTGAAGAATTAAAAAAAAAAAGATCTAAAATCTAGGTATACCCTAGGCACATGCTAAAGTCTATAATGCAAACATCACATGGCTGTATGGGTGTGGTAAAAACAAGTTAGTGTTATATCCAGAGAACAAAAAGATCAATTAAGACAAGGGTAATCCTAGAAGGTCACATGGATGAAAATGAACAATTATAGAAGCATCATGGTGTAGTGGGAAAAGCATCAATTAGTACTATTAGAATAATAATATTAGCCAACACGTAATAAGCATTTACTATGTGTTCTAGGAATTGGCTAAGGAGTTTATATGTTATCTCAATTATTCCTTAGAACAACTTTATGAGATAGATACTATATTTTCTTCACCTTACAGATAAGGGAACAGAGACTTAAAGAGATTAAGTAACTTGCTCAAAGTCATATAATTAGTAAGTAGTGAAACAGAATCAGGCAATCTGACTCTAGAACTTGTTCTCCTAACTACCACGCCACACTACCTGGGCACTAGTTCTAACTGTGCTACTTACAAACCTGGTAACCTTAAGTAAATCTTAATTTATCTGAGCCTTAGGTCCTTCTTATATAAATAGGGATAATACTGCCTGTTCTGCCAACTTAAAAGGTCTGTCATGAGGAACTTCGGAGAGGATGTGTACGAGTACTTTGGAAACTAGAAACACTTTCAATGTATGATTAGTCCTACAAGAAGTTACATTTAATAATGTATTCATAAATACATACATACATGTACATTTTGCTTTTATTTTTAAAAACAAAGAATGCAAAGATAGAAAAAAATCTAAAATGGTTACCTATAGGAGGAGAGAAAGAAGAGAGGAAGAGACAGAAAGAGAATTTAGATTTTTCAGAATGTACTTTATCTTATGGTTTTGACTTTGAAACCATGTAAATATTTTACATAACTTTAAAATAAATTTAATTTTTAAAAAAATAATCTCTAAAAATTGAAACCAAATGAAAATAAATGAACCCAAGTTTGTATCAAGTTGTAGTTGCCTTAACTACACAGAGAAAAATTATTTCAAGATAATTTAAATCTGATACTTATGTACCTTCCTGATAAGGTATACTTGAAAGAGAAAAAAGAATCACAAACAAACCTTAAACTGCATTCAGTAATATTATTGTTTGTGATATTGCTGTTTTGAAACTATTGATATCATCGTTTTAAAACTATACTCTCTCTCTCCATATATATATCAGAAAAAAACATGTTTAGTAGGATAAAGCAAATATGTAATTATGATATTATCTTTAGGAACCAAGATTTTTAGGAGGAAAAGATACTAGCACATAAAATCAAAGAACTCCATTTGAAACTCTATAATATTACATTTATTTTGGAAACATCAATATAAACTCACAAATTATTTTTCTCATTCAAAAAAATACATATTTTCTCACATTTTCCACTGAAAAGACCTAGATACTCTATTAACTTGGTAGCAATAAGCACCCCTATTGCCCAAATTGTGATTTCTAAATACCACCTTATGTAAAAGGAGCTTAGACTTCTGGGTAAAATGGCTGATTCCAGGCTTGGCATAGATAATGTACAAGATGAGCCTGGGACATCTTGTGACAGAGAGCAAAAAAGCTATATCAAAGATTAAGCACACAGGAGCCAACGTGTGGCCAACTGGACAAAAAGGGAAAATTTGAGCATCAAGTGGTATGATAAATAGTGACTACAATGTATTGAAACGTACCAAATATATAAAAATCCACTTCTTCATAATGATATTCCCAAAACAAAACAAGACTCATTGATATGGGGAAAGAATCAAGAGTTTACCCTGCCCTTCCTATATTTCAGAGTAACCAAACAGTTGATGAGGGAAAGTTTTTCTTCATGAAAGAATTCCAGCTAATGAATAAAAGGATATCAAATCAGAAAATGACCGTTTTGCAATCCCATGAGTGTAGGCAACAATCAACATAGCTACTAAAATCATTACTGGTATTTTGCTGGTATTTCTCAACCTTAGCTGACCCTTCTTTTGAATCACCTGGGGAAACTTTTAAAGAATACTGCTGCCCAGGTCCTACACCTAAAGATTCTGATTTATTTGGTCTGAGCTCTTCAAGTGATGCTACTATACAGCCAAAAATTGAGAAGCAGCACTGGTTTAGGTGAAAGGTTGATGGGGAAGCTTATAATCAAACTGATAATACCTGAAGCTACAGACCATTCTTAACATCACTAATAGAGAAAAACTGACTTATGTACTCTTGATGCGATACAATAGAGGTACACAGCACCACCTGTCAGGTATCATTGCCAAAAAACAAAAGAAAGAAAGAAAGAAACAAACAAACAAAGAAAAAAAAATTTGGGCCGGCCCCGTGGCTTAGCGGTAAAGTGCGCGCACTCTGCTGCTGGCGGCCTGGGTTCGGATCCCGGGCGCACACTGACGCACCCCTTCTCTGGCCATGCTGGGGCCGCGTCCCACATACAGCAACTAGAAGGATGTGCAACTATGACATACAACTATCT